CATGAAAGGGAACCACAGAGTGAGTGGTGCAGTAGTTAAAATGGTGGGATTAGAGTTGGGGAGCCCTGACCTGAAATCCTTCCTTCAACAAGTACTAGCGAGTGGTGTGGCCTTGGGCAAATCACTTAAGCTTCTATACATACAAGGGGGTTAAGCCCGATGGCCTTGAAGATCCCTTTTAAATTGGCTCTAAGCTTATGACCCTATGAGGTCATTCTGTTAAATCACCTTGCTTAACATATAAGTAAACTGAAACTCAGGGAGGGTGAGTAAGGGACTTGAGCCTGGTGACTTGGACAGTCAAGGACAGGGCCGAGACTGGCAGCGAAGCCTCTCCCGGTAGTGCTCTCTCCACCGAAGCAGGCTGCCTTCCGTCGTTCTCCTCTGCCGACCTATGACTTCACTTCAGCTCTTTCAGGTCCTTCCACCCATAAGCTGAAGAGCTAGAAATGAAAGGCTGGAGATGATGGGTTTGGTAACCTGCTGGTACAGCAGCTAAAACTACGGTCTCAGAGTCTGGAAGAGCTGAGTTCTGATGCAGCTTCTGACACTAGCTGTGTGATCCTGGGCAAGTCACTTAACCTCTATTTCCCTCTGCTTCCTCATCTGTAAAATGAGGATAATGATAGAACCTAACTCCCAGGGTTGTTGTGAGGATCAAATAAGATAACTGTAAAGCATTAAGCACAGTGCCTGATACAATGTGCTATATAAATGTAAGCTATCATTATTCTGTTGTTAATGGGAATCAACAATTTAATATAACTTTAGGAATCCAGGGCAAAGTGAGATGAAGTTGTGAACACTGAAGTGTCCTCATGCCTAGACCAGTGTCTTGTAGAAAGCAGACACTGCTTTGTTGAATGAATGGCAAATTACTTAGATTTGCATATAAGAACTGACATTTTATTTTTCTCATTTTTACTACTACTATTTTGTACTGCCATTTTTGGTCAACTATACACACACATACAAAAGTATGTGTGAGAGTGTGTGTGTATGTGAGAGAGAGAGAAAGAGAGAGACACTGTATGTGTGTGTGCATGTGTGGGTGCGTGTGTGTGCGTGTGTGTGTGTAAAACAGCCTCTGGAATCAAGAAAAAAGATTAGACAGAGGATTCTGGGAAGACTGTGGAGTAGGTCAGAAAATTCTAAGCTCTCTAGATTTCCGCCCCAAATGAGATAAAATAGCACCTCAGGACTAACAGAACAGTAAAAATAAATAAAAGTAGGGTAAGAATAGTGGTCCTCCTGGGACAACAGGAGAAGATCTGAAGGATGAGGTTTGGTCCTACGGTTCTACTTAAACAACAAGCCATGAGCCCTGGGGTTAGCTGGGTTGGGAGCCTGCCTCTGCCCCATAGGAACTTTAACCCCGGGGCAGTGAGGGTAGTTGGGTGTCTGAGCCTGGGAAGATAGAGGGAACCTCTGCTGACAAGAAACAGACCCAGCTGTGCTACTGATACTTGGTTCTGGGTGAGAAGGAATCAGCACAGGGGCAGCTAGGTGGTGCAGTGGATTGAGCACCAGCCCTGAAAATCAGGAGGACCTGAGTTCAAATGTGACCTCAGACCAAACACTTGACACCTACTAGCTGTGTGACCCTGGGCAAGTCGCTTAACCCCAATTGCCTAAAAAAAAAAAAACAACACAGACCCAGTGAGTGCAGAAGCAGTAGGGTGGGGACACCACTGGCTGTGGGCACTTACTGGAGGCTGGAGGTCTTGGTTTTAGTTCCAGGACACAGGAGAGAACTGAAGGAGCACTTGAGGCCAGAGCACCACCCCCCATACCCTAGGGCTAGAGGTGATTACCCCTTCATTGTCTTGCCTCCCTATGGCCCTGCCATTTCCCACTCTTCGTAATTCTATTACCTTATGGCCTACTTGGTCACTCCTAGATCCTCCAATAGGCTTTCTGTATATAAGGTCCATCTTGTCTCCATTAAGATGCTGGGATTCTTATAATCTAGCCACTGCTTATATTCTTAAAATCTAGCCACTGGTCAGATACTTATAATCTAGCCAATAGGTTACTAACATTCAGACTCCTTAAGAGTCTGCCCAATATGAAGGATGTTCTAATAAACCTTGTCTTTGGCTGAAAAAAAAATCAGAATTGGGCAAGGGAAAGCCAGTGAAGTCATAAGAGACCAAGACATAATAAAATAAAATATAAAGAACGAAAAAATAGAAGAGAATGTGAAACACCTCACAAGAAAAACAACCGGTCTAGAGAACAGATAAAGAAGAGGAAACATGAGAATAATCAGACTACCTAAAAGTTATGATCAAAAAAAGAATCTTGACATAATAATACAAGAAATAATTAAAGAAAATTGTCCTGAAGCACCAGAACAAGAGGGGAAAGTAGAAATAGAAAAAAAATCTACTGATCACCACCTAAAAGAGATCCTACAAGGAAAACCTATAGGAATATCATAGTCAAATTCTGAAACCCCCAGCTCAAGGACAAAATATTACGAGCAACAAGGAAAAACCAAATATGGCAGTGTCACAATTAGAATCACACGAGACCTAGCAGCAGCTACACTAAAAGACCACAGATCTTGGAACACTACACATCAAAGAGAAAATGAACTGGGGTTCCAGCCAAAAACATCATACCCAGCAAAGCTAAGCATAATCCTGAATGAAAAAAAAAAGACATTTAATGAACCATCAGACTTTCAGATTTTGTTAAAAAAACAAAACTGAACTTAATAAAAGATATGACAAATAAGAGCCAAGAGCCAACATATAAGGTGTATGCCAAAGATTAATTTACAAGGGATTCAATTAGGACAGACTGTTTACCTTTTTTATGAGGAAATGTAAAACGTATATCTAAGACTGTTATTAGTGATTGGGTAGTTCATAAGAGTGGGGTAGACCTGAGTATGATATGATTTTTAAAAAGAAAACCATTTAGGAACAGCTAAAAAGAGTGATTATCTCATACAAATGAGGTGAAAGAGGAAGAACCAAAACAGAGACATTAGATGGTGGAAGAGGACTGGTAATTCTGGAAACTTACTTTCATCAGGAATGGGTTTAAGAGGAAACTATATATATCTATATCTATATCTATCTATCTATATATAGAGAGATACAGATAGATACATATATACATATACATACATATATATAGATATAAAGATCAGGAGTAGAATTTGTTAGGGAAAAAGGAGCAGGGGTGGTAATGAAGATCTCAAAGTTAAGACTAAAATCAATGTAATCAAAAGAGAAAAATAGGGAAACTACACTATGTGTCAGTCATATTCATCAATGTTGTTTTGGACTATTTAAACATTATAGACATTATATAGCTTTAGACATTATAAGATTGGAATATTGCTGTGGTGTAGGAAACGATGGGGTGGTGGACTTGGAAAAACATGGAAAGACAGACTTATGAAGGAAGAGGTTATCCACTCTCAGAGAAAGAAAGGACAAAAAAGTATAGTACAATCATACACAGATGCATATGAGGATGATTATAGATATCTAAATATATATATATATGTAAGTACATACACGTATGGGTACATGTATGAATGTATATATGTACATCGTTGTGTGTATGTCTATATGTATGTGTGTACACATACATATGTATGTGTATGTGTGTGTATGTATGCATGTATATCTCCATGCTTAATTGTAGCCTTCTGGGGGGTGAGGGAAGGAAGAGGGATAAAAGAACAAAGTAAAAAGTGCACAGCAGAGAACAAAAGAAAACTTATAAGGAAGCAAAGAAAAGATGGACAGCTCTTAACACTGCATAATATTTATTATATAGGCTTTCTCAAAATGGAAATTTACTGCAGTATATTTTGAATCTTCTCTCATATTCTGCTGTGCACATGGCAATGCTTTCTTTTTTTTTCAATTTTTTGGGTAATTTTTTTTTATTTCAAACTTAAATACAAAATAAGAAAAGAAAAAGGATGAGAGGTACATGCTCCACTAGTATCAATTAATCATGTTATAAAGCAAACAACTTTTAGCAATACCACTTCTAGGTATGTATCCCAAAGAGATCATAAAAACGGGAAAAGAATTCACATGTACAAAAACATTTATAGCAGCTCTTTCTGTGGTGGCAAAGAATTGGAAATTGAGGGCATGCTCATCAATTGGGGAATGGCTGAACAAGTTGTGTTACATGAATGTAATGGAATACTCCTGTGCTATAAGAAATGATGAGCTGGAGTACTTCAGAAAAACCTGGAAAGATTTATATGAACTGATGCTGAGTGAAATGATCAGAACCAGGAGAACATTGTACACAGTACCAGCCACACTGTGTGATGACTGACTTTGATAGACTTAGCTCTTCTCAGCAATGCAAGGATCTAAGACAACTCCAAAAGACTCATGATGGAAAATGCTATCCATATTCAGAAAAAGAACCAAGGAGTCTGAATGCAGATGGAAGCATACTATTAGCTCTCCTTTTCTTTTGTTGTTTTGTTTCATTTCTTCTTTCTCATGGTTTCTCCCATTAGTTCTAATTCTTCTATACATCATGATTAACGTGAAAATATGCTTAATATGGATGTATAAATAGAGTCTATATCAGATTGCATGTGTCTTGGGGAAGGGGGAGAAGAGGGAGGGGGAGAAAAATTTAAAACTCAAAATCTTATGGAAGTGAGTGTGGAAAAAAAATTATTAAAAAAATAAGAAAACTTTTAATATAGTATAATTTTTGTATTTAATTCCTTTGCACCTTATAAACAGAACTGTCCTAAAAAATGAATTCTGATTTTCCAATTACCAATATGATAAACTGAGCTATTTCCTGAGGCTATGATTCATCTGAATGATTAGAACTTTTACTTCAATTCTCCAGAGAGGGATGTTGAGTGTATACAGATCATACAACACAATGGTCAAGAAACTTAACAGAAAGGTAAGACAATATGAAAGGTAGCCGTGAAAGGGAAAGGGTTAAAATAAAATTCATACAGACTCATAAAATTCAGTATACATTACCTCCTGCAGGCTGCATTTCCTCAGTTTTGGGGAAAAAAACTCTGATTATACTAGTGTTGATATAGATCAAAGGCAGGTTGCGGGAGGTCAGAGTATGAGATCTCATGGGCTGACCTGGAGATTTTCTTTTCACCTGTTGAGTTTTTGGTAGTTTTGCTTGAAAAATGCTTGCAATTGCATTAAGTAAAGGAAAACAGAGAACAACATCAAATGCTTGTGCAGAAAGGAGAATCTCATGAAGAAAGTGAGGTGAGCCATCTGTTAAGCCTTCACATAACTTATGGAAACTTTTTCGGTCACTCCTTGATGTTAACTTATGCCGGACATTTTTAGTTACTGCTTTTGTATATGTAAGAGAGAGAAATCCATGTTGCTGATGTGAGCCATCTAAAAGTTTTGAAGTTGTCTGTCTCAAAAAAAAAAAGAAACCACAGTGAAAATTCTGTTAGAAAAAAAGCTTGAACATTTCCAAATAGAGAAAAATTACTATTAGCTTTCTGCTCTCTCATTTTTATTCCTAATTCATCTTAAACATCATTTTATTGAGTCCCATTATTTGTTGAGACCCACTAGAAAAGGTTTCTGATCATAGTATAGTGTCCTATTGAATTTGTATGATCTCATTCAAATATGCCAATGGATCTGTGATCTTTATAGGATCCTACTTCCTTAAATATCAAGTTAGGATATTTAGGATAAAAAGAATAAGGTATTCAAGAATAGGTGCTATCATAGGACTCAGAGTTGGAAGGGATCTTACAGACTGTCTAATCTATCTCCCTTATTTTACATATGAGAAAAAGTGAGGCCTACAGAAGTTAACTTGGCCAAAGTCAAAGAACTCACATGTGGCAGAGTGAGAATTTAAACATTTGACTCTGAATCCAGCATTGTTTTCTCTATCGTAAGATGCTTCAGTCAAAATGAATCGATGGTCTATGGTTTAAAATTCATTAGAGACTGGCTTTTATTCTTTGAATTATATGGTAAAGACTGGGTATTGTAAAAAGCAGTATCATTAATGGTAAATAGAGTGAGTTCTCAAAAGATACAAAAATCTAGAGCTGTACCTCTATCTTTTGTGATGAGTAGAGAGTCATGGAACATTCCTGGTTACCACATGCAAGAAAATTTTATACCTTTCCCTCTGTCATTTAGATTCTGGATAAGGAATCTTCTTTGGGTGCCATGTGACAAATTAATAAAGTATTTTTAATTTTTAAGTTTCATCCTTAACAGTTGTTATTCTCTCTCTCTTTTTTTTAATTGGTGAGGCATTTGGGGTTAAGTGACTTGCCCAGGATCACACAGCTAGTAAGTGTTATGTGTCTGAGGCCAGATTTGAACTAAGGTCCTCCTGAACCCAGGACTCTATCCACTGCGCCATCTAGCTACTTCAACAATTATTATTCTCTGTGTTAGTGTCTGTCATATATATTAAACTTGCTCATATATCTGTAAGGCATGGAGAAGTGATTTTTCTTTCCTAGTGATGAAATTATATTGAATCACCTTGCCTGCTTCCTTTCTGAGCAAAAGCATGTATTTACAAGGCGGATAACTGGGCAAAGAATGCCTGGCTGAGGTTACAGAAGAAAAAAAAAAAAGATTTCCTCTAGGTAAAGTCCAGATGTTTTATTAAAAGAAATAACGGGCCCCAGGACTAGAAAGGTTATAGCACCTCTGTACTCTGTCCTGGTCAGAGCAGACCACAACTAAAGTACTCTGTGTAATTTGGGCATCTCATTGCATGAAAGACATCAGTTGGATGTTATGAAGAAGAGGAAAAGAGTTTTGCCAAAGAGAATGGCAGAATTTCAAGATTATGTTATGTGAGGATTAGGTAGAAGAAATTAGAAAATTTAGTCTTCAGAATAAAATAAATTTAGGGGAACTATGATATCCTTTTTCAAGTATTTGAAGAGCTGTCATGGAGAAGAGGGATTTGTCTTGTTCTTGGGTCCAAAAGGAAGAACCAGGAACAATGGGTGGGAATTGCAGAGGCAACTTTAGGCTTAATTCCAGAAAAAAAAAATCTCAATAATTAGAGCTATTCGAAATGCAATGTAGGTACAATGCTTCCCCTTACTAAAGGTTTTCAAGCAAAAACTCTTTCCCACTAATAGGGTTTAAGATAAAACAGAAAGAGGCTCTTAATGTAGGGTCTGTGAACCTTTTGCCCCTAATATTGTGACAAATGTGTTGCAATATAATTGGTTTCCATTGTAATCATACAAATTTTATTTTATGTGTTTAAACACATTATTCTGAAAAGGAATCCATAGACTTTACCAGCTGTCAAACGGATCGAAAACGCACAAAAATATAAAGAACCTCTATTGTAGAGGGAATTTTTTTTCAGATATAGACTAAACTAGAAAGGCCCTTGAGGTCACTTCCAACTCTGAATATTATGACTCTACATTATCTACCAGTGATATACCAAAATAGCTGCTTGGCATAGTAACAAAACATATGCATTTTAAAAGTAATTTTCAGTAGTGATCATATTGTTTGCAAAATCTCTCATCTTACTTTAGTAAACTACACATTCCTCAGGTACAATAATCATTACCTTCAAATATGCAAAAAAAATTTGGTTCAGAGTGAAAAAACATGCACTTGTAACTACTTTAATATTTCTCAGGAATAAAAAAATTCACATAATTATTTCGAAAATGCATATAATAAAAGATAGCAAAATGTGGTTTTACAAATGAGATAAAATTTGAGGTAGGGTATGCTTCAATATATGAAAGAGCGGCTCTAAAAATTTCCTGTATGCCAATTCCTATATCCCGAAACCTATTTTCCCCACTGACTTCCAATATAAAATTAGAGTTGCAAATTTGACTGAAAACATTTTTTTCTGATAAGAAAAAAATGATGTCAGTTGGATTAGGGGAAGGATGTAGAAAGAAGGCAAGATAAGCAGCAAAGCAGGAAAGAGTCTGTACCACTGTCAGCTCATCACTTGCAAACCTGTTCTGTGTCTACTTTTTCTCCTTAGACTGCTGGCTGTCACCCTGTGATTCAGTGACAGAAGCACATTTAACACTGTGGCCACTGCCACTACTGCCCCTCCTCTGCCTCCACCGGCATATGGACAGTGTCTTTTTTTTTTCTTCTAATAAAAAGTATGGCCAAGAATGTGTCATTTTGAGACTTTGTAGAGAAACGATTGTGTAATCTCATGAAAAATGTTACTCTCGTCCCCCAGTTTGGTCTCTCTTCAGTATAGTGCTCCTCTAATTCAGCGTTGGGCTGGCCCTCTCTTCTGCTTCCTCCTTATTGTTTTGCCTCACTCATTTCTTTGCCTCTTCTGTGCCTAACAGACAGAGGCCCCAGCCAATGACAGAAAAGCAAGGGGAGCATTAGGACCAGGCTAGGTCACAATAACCTCTCACTAGGTGGCGAGAAGCAGTGGCTGGAGGAAGAAGGACATGATAAATGTGTTGCAGTCAATGTGTGTGTGGTATGAAGAGAGACAGGGAAGGTTTTCCATGTCCAAGTATCTCAAAAAATTGCTGCTTCTTAAACTGATTATGCAGTTTTTAGCAGTACAGTGTCTGTGTAGTACTAGGTCTGGAGAAGAGCCAAAATGGTGCTTCAGGCAAAGGAAATTTCAAATTTTCAAAACCATTTTAGGGATTACACACTGAATTGTTTTCTACCTTGTATATGGCATTAACACAAAACTGTACTGGTTGAGTGTTACTGCAAGGAATATCAGGACTCATTTGATTGGCAAAATTTAGCATTATCAATTACATGCTCTTACAGAAATGACTGAAGCTTCATTAATGGCAGATTTTGCATGCTTGGAATAGAATTAAATGTTTTTTTAACATATGAATATTTTAATTTGGTAAAACTAGCACTTAAACATACTGATTATATGTACTACAAATGTAAATGTATTTTATGTAAGTATATATAACAATGTTTCACATGGATACAGACACAGAAGAAAATAAATCTAAACAGAACTTCCACTAACATGAAAGCCATTTTATAATCAATCTATTTCAGAATTAAAGAAAAACAACATTCACACCTTATAGTTTTCTGGAAGAATCTAAGATATTAAATTGCTTTTCTTTGCCATTGACCCAGAAGAGCATACAATATAAGTAGGCACCCAGACATTTTAAATAACACTGCATTTTTATGCAAATGCATTATTGTTCCTCTGAATTCAAGACTAACAAAATTTTAACACTTGGCTATTTTTAGTAAATCGATGCTATATTATTTAAAGCTTATTCCTATAAATATATTGATATATATATACACATCATATTTTACTATTACATTTCACTTACTATATTACTGCGATATATACGGTTTATATTTTATATATATTATGCATATATATATGTATATATAAAATATGTATGTGTCTGTAATATTAGGGTAAACACAATAAGTAAAAAAGTTGGGTCACATCTGCTGACAGAAAAGCTAGTGCAGATGTCCCTTGATGCTTTATTAAACAGAATAACAAAGAAAAGAACAAAGTCCATAGAAGAAATAGTTAAGGTAAAAATATTTCCATACAAATAATTTTTACACAACACCAAAATATTTATGTGATTCTGTCTTTTGACAATGTTAATTAAATCAAATTGCATTTCAAATCAATATGGTCTATCTAACTATGTTGCTATTCTGAGTTTCCACTATTCAAATAATTGTTATACCAGCCTCTGGAAGTTACTGATCCTTATTCCAGGACAGTCATCCTTTCCATTTAGTAACTATGATATGTGCATGTTTGTCTGTATTTAAGAGCATTGAGTAAAGTGCTGTTGGATAATGATTGTAAGGGCAAAGGGACAATATAGGGATGAAATGGCCAGCTTTTGGGTCAGGTATACAAATGGTACGACAAAAATCACTTGAGTCAACTCTGGCTTATCGGTTTATAATTTATATTTGGCATTAGAACGTACCACACATGTTTTTTGCAATTTATTTACTTATCTTTCTAATTCTTTTTTCTTAAGGTTCAGGTTAAAATGAATTTTATGCTCTCTGAGGATGGAGTTTATGAAGAGACAACCCAGAAGAGAAGGAGGCTGGATTGCAGAGAAGCCAATTCAGAACACACAAATTTGTTGCTGATAGTTAATAGTAGATGACATAATGCAGATTAAAATTGAGACATGACCATATTTTGCATAGATAGTTAAATCTAATTTATGGGTTACTGTTAATGGAAGTTCTGTAGAATAATTTTTAAATGATTTCTTACAGAAGGAAAGAAGCCAGAGAAATTACTGAAAGGGTCCTGCTTGCAGACGGGTCGAACCAACAAGGTGCGTCTGTTCAGCTTGTCAGTACAGGAAAGGAAGACACCTCCATATTGCCCCAGAGACCAACACTCTTCCCCAAGGCTTGAGGTGATGTACAGGAGGAAAGTGGGTGGAGAGACAAAAAGCAATAAAAAGCCATAAGCAAAAAATTCATATAGATTTAAAATTCTGCTTAAGTCTGCATAGCTGCATGCCTCTGTTTGATATGGCCTCAATCTGGACCATCTTCTGCAAATACACAGTTAATGGAATTAAAAAGAAAAGATTTTAGTATAAAATTTTCACTTGCAATTGATAGAAAGAAACAATCCAGCATGAGATTAAGCATATGAAATGATGAGAATAATAATTCCAAGGAGCCTATATGATAGAAGTCAATAGTATATTAATTAATGAAAGCAACCCATCCTGATTTTCATCAAATGTTTGCAAATTTGTTAAATGAGGAAGATGTTGACAAACTTTAAGCAGCTTGAAGCAAAATAAGATGGATTTCAACTATATATATCTATATATATCTATATATACACATATATATAGATATATATATATATATGTAAAATCATTTTTAGGTAGGAGTTCTAGTTCTTGTAATCATTCCTGTTGCATAAAAGAACAAATATACAGTTTTATGATAAATCACTATTTTTAAAAATTATATTTACTAAATGAGTCTCACCACAGGTTTTTCTTTGCACTGAAGAAATATTCCTTCAAAATGTCCTGACTGCCAGCCTTCGCCTGGCCTGGAAAACAGAGGTTAACCTTATCTATTCTCTGTATTTTTTCTGAGTTCACAGAATTTAGCCATAAAAAGTATATTTCAAGTAGTTATAACATTAATCACTGCCATCCTGAAGTGAAAAATCAATCAGACAAAGCAATCAACAAAGCAATTATGTAGGACAGATACCTAAAACTATATAAATTTCACAGAGATAACATGAACAAACCACCATTAATGTTATACTCAAAGCTTCAAGAAAAAAATCTAAAGTATGAAAAACAATGAACTATAATGAAAAAAAAAGTGTAAGAAAGTATTTGAAGATACAATTGGTTAGTAACGAGTTCCACTGCCAAATATTGTATTGTTAAAAAAAGCAAATTATCTGCATATCAATATCATAAATTACCTATTCCGTAATTCTGTTATAACCTCCCATAATATAACATCTATATGTATTTTTAAAAAGTATTCCTATTAAAATGAAGTATATTTTATTATTACACAATTTAAAAGACATGACATTTAACCCTTAGGAGTATGTTTAATATGCATGAAGTATAATAAAATTCATACACCTTTCTTGTAGAATCAGATACTTTTAAAACAAAAAGGCTAAGATTTTTTGCCACGATACATATTTAAGCTAATTGAACATGTAGAAAAAAAAAGATACTTTAAAAGCCAGAAATTCTTAAGTTAAAATCTATTGGAAACGAGATGCATGACTGTTTAAAACAAGCGTCTTTCATTCATTTAAAAAAAGTGGATTGGGCAAGACGGAAGGAGTTTCATTCAAATATCCAACTGCCATTCTCAGATCTGATATCTTTATTATAAATATGTAGTTCTCAAAAACAAAGCACTATTGAATTTAGTCATCGTTTTGATAGGGCATTTATTATGGAAAGCTCAAGTTATTCTTTCAGTGAATAAATATTTATACCATATAGACCTCACTGAAACAGAAAAGGGAAGTCACATTTGGTATTTTATGGGAGAGGAGGAAGAAAGGAAAAACAGAGTAAGAAATGGAAGAAAGTGGGGAAAAGGAACAGAAAAATATGCATATCAATAAAGAAAACTTGTACTCTTGGACAACATAGAACTTTTAAGGTCAAGGAAAACAGAATGAATATGGCATTAACAGCAATGAAATATGGAACTACAGTCTCTGGGCCTGTGACAGTGAGGAACTGCTAACTTGTAAATATTAAAAGAGGGCTGGAGTTGTTCTTAGTGCATGATAAGTAAAATTCCTTTAAACCGCTGAGGGATAAGAAGTATGATTTCCTTAAGTAAAATTTACTCTACAAATAGCACTGGGGCTTGGAGAAAAAGAATAGGAACAACAAAGAGCAACAATGGAAACGAAGCAATGGTAATTCAATATGTGTTGTAAGAAATCCCTTACATTAATCTTCCTTTAAAAGGAACATACCTAACACAATATGCAGGCCAATGCATTTAAAAGCAACATGACATGGTATGATGTGACATGACAATGAGAAGGATTACAAACAGCCCACCTTTTTTTATATTCGCGGACTGAATCCGTATTGTTTTTAATTCACATCTATGATTTCATAGTGCCTGCTCAGGAAACCCTCTTCAGTGATAAGATCTGTTAACTCCTCAGGAATTTACAGTCTTAGAGAACTGCGTCAGGTACTGAGAAATTCAGTGCCTTGCCCTTGGTCACAGCCGAGCTGTGTTAGAAACAGCTGGGAAATCAAGTTTTCTTGACTGTAAGGCCAAGCCTCTGCCTCCTATGAACTGCTACTTCTCTAAATGCCGTAACACAAAACTAAATTACATTGCATACATATACAAATTGTTGCATCAAAGAACAAATACGTAAAACTTTTATATTTGCTAAATAAGTCTCACTACTGGTTTTTATTATTCATATATACACATATACAGATACATATAATTGGGAAAAATTAATAAATCCACTTATTTTAAAATTTCAAATGTATCTTGAAAAAATATTTGATTAGTAACTAAATAAGCTAAAATATAAAAATTCTTAAATTGTCTCCAAAGAAAATTTTTTTTCCTATTTTTTAAGTGATACTTTTGGATAAAAATGAACGAATGAAAAAGGATTTATTAATATGGGTTAAGCACTATGTTAAGCATTGGAGATACAAATAGAAAAAAGCAATGCAGTTCCTGCTCTCAAGGAGATCACATTCAATTAATAATAGTTTAAAGAAAGTGATATGATTTTATATTTACCTGCTCCTGTAGTGGTCAATATTGAAACTTTCTATTTTACACTTGACTTTGGTATAAACATCTTGGACATCGACTGAGGCACTGAGATCTTCTAATTCACTAACTACACAGAGTTCTGCAATAATAAGCAAACATTAACATTAATATTTATTTTTCAAATAAAGGCATATCAACAATAGTAAGAGGGGAAATCTTGATGTATACAATGCATCAGAGATCACTGCAAAGTGACCAAACAACATAAAAAGTTTCGTACAGAATGCTGTAAACAATAACAACAATATTGTACAATGAAAAATTGTGAATAACTTAACCATTCTCAGTAAAACAATGATTCAAGAAAATTCCAAAGGATTAATGATGAAACATGCTATGCTGTCTACTTCCAGAAAAAGAACTGATATTGTCTGAACATAGACTGAAGCATATTATTCTTTTCTTTTCTTTTTTTCTTCAGTCCTTTCTTTGTCTTCTTATACAAAATGACTAATATGAAAATGTTTTACATGATTACACATGTATAACATATCAAACTGCTTACCATCTCAGGTAGGAGAGGGGGAGGGGAGAGAGGGAGAGAGAGAGTTTGGAACTCAAAACTTAAAAGAATTTGTTAAAGAAAATTTTTAACATGTAATTGGGTAAAAACAAAATATTATTTTAAAAAGTTTTTTTTTTTTTTGACCAAAAAGAATTTAATTAGATTTTATAAGCATGTGAGTTACTCTGTCTTGGTCAAATAACAGATTAAACGTTATAATTGTTTCCCATAGGGTATGTCCTTTCCCCAAATTTCAAGTGCTTAACTCATCGCCATCCTGTAAGTTTGGCTCAAATGCCACCTCATATAATAAGAGTTGACATTTATATAGTAATTTAAGGTTTGCAAAGCATTGTACATGCATTGTTTCATTTGATCCTTGCCAGAACTTTGGGAGGTAGAGACACAGGTCTTTTATTCATATTTTACAGATGAGTAAACTGGGGTTCAAATGGGGTTAAGAGATGCCAATGACCATACAGCTAGTAACAGTCAGAGAAGTGATTCAAATCCAGGTCTTTCTAGATTCCAAATCCAAGCTTCTTTCCCCACACCACTGATTCTCATAAATCAGAAATGACCTTTTGACTCAGTGTCACTTCAAACAGTATCTTAAAATTCTGCACCTCTCTAGTGAAATTGTTAGGGATTATTTTGCATATTTTGTTATCTGTGTTTGTCAATAATTTGCTCACTTATGCTAATTTAATCTCCATTATTGTGGGGATTATGTCTTATCTAAATTTTTATCTCTCAGTGCTCAGTAGGTGCTCTGTATACAGTAGGTGCTTAATAAATGTTTCTTGAGTTAAATTTAATTACATCATAAAAACAGAAAAGAAAGAGAAGGAAAGAAAAAGAACTCCTGAACAATAGGTTCTTCCCATTGTGGGTGAGTAGGCCTTCTTTAGAGGAAGATTTTTGGGAGAAATGCATTTCCTTCATGGACTTAATGACCTGTTATTGCAAAAGACAATTTGTCTTTGCCACAATAGCAGAGGCAACAAAAACATGTTGGTGGCAGGAATGGAAGGAGACAGCAAGGAATGTGGATCCTTTGCAGCAATAGAGCATTAATTCTAGCTTCTTCCAGATAGTGAGTTGAATTTTGCTTAAAATTAATTAATTCCAATAACTGGGAATTTTAGAAAGTTATAATTCTGGATAATGGCTTTGTGTTTAGCAGGATAAAGCTGGCAAGATGGCTTCTTAAATCACTGAAACAAAATATGTAAATATGATATAAATCAAACTATGATGGGCTATAAATAAAAGTAGAGATTATACATAAAAATAATAGTAACATTTATTTTAAACATAGTTCAAATGAAGATAGTAGTATAAGTTTTCAGGTGGTCCAATATTACCTAAATTGTATAATAATGAATTAATAGCATTTTACAGACAAAGTTATATATCACCTGTTCTCTAAGGGTATATGATGGTTTCATGTATCATATAGAAGAGGCTTATGCATACATAATTCCTTAATACTGATGTGGATTTTGATTTAATAGATATCAAATTAGTTCACGTATCCTTTGAATGATTATTTACCAGAATGGTAAACAGTGCTCAAATTTTTTTTGAAAACTGGATCCCAGCTCCAGAACTGGAAGGGGTATCAGAGACCATTTAGTCCGGCCTCCTCATTTCGCAAATGAGAAAACTGAGGATCAGAGGGGGTAAATGATTTGCCAGAAGTCACAAGACTGATCAGAAGCTGGATTGTAGCTAGGCTTTAAATATTGTATATTTCATCTTCAGTTTTTGGAAGAGAGGTAAAAATGAGATCAATACCTCTTCCTTTATGTCCAGGATCTGGAGCAAATAGCTTGATGGTAATTTTTGGTAGCACCCATTGCATCCAGAGGCTAACACGTCCACTTGACCCACCGATGCTGCTTGTAGTTTGTTCCAGGGTAACAGAATCAGAAAATGGAGAGTCATCACCAGCTTGTACAGAATCACCCTAGCCAAAGGAAACAACCATAACAGAAATTATGTTTAAAAATTCATCAGACTTGTGTGTCCCTGGAAGAAATGCTATTTCTTCACTTGAATTCACTGGAAACTATATCCCGATTTATTAATATCTACAATGTATAATTATCACAATTATAATTCTTTGCCACCTTTCTAGACCACTTGGATATTTGTTCATAGATTATCAGGGTGAGCATTTCCTTATTACAAACTTATTCATTTAAAAAACCAAATAATCAGATGACATTGCATTCTAAGATCTCAATCCAGTTAAGACACGGGAAATGACATTCAGATGCATTTCATTTTAAAAGTAACTTTATTAGCATAGGCTTCATTTTGATATCTCAAGAAGTCAGTTAATATTTTCTGCTTATAATTTTTTGAAAGGCAACAATTTTTCTCTTCTTTAAGAAGTATAGCAATACCTTCAACACAATTTTGTAAATTTATTTAACTGTCATCATTTAATCCCATTTAACCTGTACCTTTTCAAGCACGTGGATACCCATTTTAATGAAAGATATCTTGGGAAACTCCACAAATTTCAGAATCTTACACATAATAGGAAGAAATGATAAAGTGTATAACAGAGTAGAGTCTTAGGAAATTGCCCCTAGGACTGCAAGTAAAGTATGGGAAGGGATAAAGGGTGAGGGAGTTTGGGAAGATAATGTTGGAAGCTTCAAAGGCATACCCACCAACCAGATACCTTCATCGGGTACCTCACTTAACCCATCTTTTGGGGTATATTTTCATATACGTAATCTTCCCCCATCAGAATGTAAGCTCCTTGAGAGCAAGAACTGTCTTTTTTCCTGCACCTGTATCCCCGCCCCTTAGCACACTACTTGGCACATTTTAAGTGCTTAATAAATGCTTATTTCTTTCTTTTTAGTCCTGCCATAGCTCCTAGAAAGGTCCTGTCAAATCTACTACCTATAGTTCTAGTCAATATCCCTATCTATAACATCCCAGCAAGGAGGCTGTCCTGGCTACATCTAACTGAGACTACAATGAACCTCAGACTTTGAGGTTACTGAATTTATCTGCCTGGAAAGTCATTACACCTTTTCTTTTCTCTAGCTTTCTGTGTTGTATTAATAAGGCAACATGGGCAGGGATAATGTACTTGTACTATCCTGGGAGTAGGCACATGGGAAAAGATAGTTTAGAGAATCTGGGGATGAAAGACCTGCTACTTATTTAATTTCTTATTATTCAACCTACATTTCTTTTTTCTTACCATGATGTTACATCTTTAATTCTGGCTAGGTTAGAAAGATATGCAGAGAAAAATGGGACCCTATGAGCAGCAGATCTGAATAGACGGTAGATCCAAAGAGTTTCCAAGAACATGAATACATCAGTAGTGCATTCCACCTTCCATATGATAGGTAAAGATAAGGGAGGCCAAACAAAATATAGATTCTGTTCTTAACTAGCTTGCAACCTTACAATTTCATTGAGAAATCAGGAAGAAATATGTATACATATTTAAAGTTAAACAACAATAACTAATTAGCTGTGTGATGTCATCTGTAAAATGAGCGGATTGGAATCTACAGAAAATTGTTAATGTAATTGTTAACATAATGACAGAAAATTGTTAATACCAAATGGAATGTTACCTGCCACTCCCTAACTAGTAATGTCATAATGTCAGTAGCATTCCCAACAAGATAGTGTCAGGTTGAGCTGTGTCAGACCTTAAGTCCCATGCTGAGATCTCACCTTGTGGGGGAACCTGGTTCAAGCTGGATCTAGGCCTCTGATGTCCTTGCCCCCTTCCACTGGGACTCATGGTAGGAAGGGCAACAGCCAAAATGAAGTGATTCTCTTTGCTTGGATTACTGAGGGCAGCTGGGATCTCATGACCAGGCCTTGCTACCTCATGTTAACTCCTCCCCTCCCCTCCTAAAACTATAAAAACTTTTTCATGGGTCTCTTTGGTTGGGAAATCCACTGGACATCACCCAGGGTGCTACATTTGCTACACTGTTATCTCAAATAAAGATGTTTTATTTCTCAACTCATGCCTTTGTTTTAATTTAGGACTTGACACATAAATTCTTTTAACCTCTTCATATTCTAACAGCTTCAAATGCAAGAAATGAAGCAAATGTTATGAGAGGATTGACCAGTGAGGGCCTAGTGCTTTGAGTATGATCAGATATACATTTCCTTGTAGTCTGAATGCAATATTCCCTGTTCTAATCCAACACACGGAGACTGGATAAGTCTACTTTTGGCAAATGATTGGGCATAAATGTCTGCCTCCATGATCTAATGACAAAAGTCCTTCTAATTGGCTTTGGACCGGAAAGGGTAGATGAAACAGGAGACACAGAGCAGGAAGGGAGTTTATATGCAAAAGGATCAATATAACTTTCCCTCTGCCCTTTTGTGCATCTAGGGAAATAAGTCCTGCTGAGAGCTGCTGCACGGGGGAAAGGCAACAGCTGCCTTATGTCCTGCCCAGCTGCTATGTCTCAGTGAATGTATGTTGCTTCTGTTACTTCTGCCTCTTTTGTGTTCATTCTTTCCTGATCTTAGATGAAGGGTTATTATGAGAAAGGAGTGCCCAGATGACGAGTGAGTCTAGGAAATTTGTGAGAGGCACCAAAGAAGTCTCAAACAATTGTGGCCAGTAGCAGCAGTAGCTGAGTCTAATGAAGAGCCAGATTAGTAGCAGTAGTAATCTGCCTGCCCCAATCCAACACAATAGATTGATATATCAGCCAAGGCAAAGCATCCCACAAGGCAAAGCATCCCACAAGCTGAGCAAGGAAGTCACTCATCTATCGCTGATACCATATACTGCAGAAAAATTCATGAAGACCTTTCCACGAGGGGAAAGACTCTGATCCTCTACTGTTCTAGAGTTATGAGTTTCTTTAGTCATGAGTTTTCCCTACACACATCCCTCACTCTCACTGCACTTTAAGTTCACATCTACTCCTTTTCCTATGGACTTTGTAAGTATTTGTGGGAAAGAATACCCTGGGGTTGAGGGTAAAAATATTTTAGAAGTATTATTCTTGCTATATGCCATTTGAGTAAATAGATCAGCTAAAGAACTGAGTCTACTGGCTGATTCCTAAGGGAAAACACACTGGTAGGGGCTTGTGAGCTAGTATTAGAAGGATAGCATGCCTGTAGAAGCCTGAAAGTAGCAGTAGCTGCCCTCTGGAAACCAACCTGCCAGTGTAAGGGGGATGTTGAAAGAGTAAGCCTAGAAGGGGTACAGGGAAAGAGCATTTTCTTTTTTCTTTTTCTTGTTTTTAAAATAAATTTATTTATTTTTAGTTTTCAACATTTACTTACAGAAGATTTTGAGTTCCAATTTTTACCCCATCTCACCCTTCCCCCCACCCCAAGATGGCATGCATTCTGAATACCCCTTCCCCCAGTCTGTCCTCCCTTCTATCTCTCCCCCCCCTTCTCTTATCCCCTTCCCCTTCTATCTTCCTGTAGGGCAGGATAGATTTCTGTACCCCATTTCCTGTATTTCTTATTTCCCAGTTGCATGTGGAAACATTTTTTTAAACATGTGATTTTAAAACTTTGGGTTCCAAATTTTCTCCCTTCCTCCCTCCCCACCCACCTTCATTGAAAAGGCAAGCAACTCAATATAGGTTATACACATGCAGTTATGCAAAACACTTCCATAGTAGACATGCTGTGAAAAACTAACTCTATTTCCCTTAATCCTATCCTGCCCCCCATTTATTCTATTGTTTCTTTTGACCCTGTCCCTCCTCAGAAGTATTTGTTTCTGATTACCCCCTTTCCCAATCTTCTCTCCTCTCTATCATCCCCCCATTTTCCTGTAGGGTAAGACAAATTTCCATACCCAATTGAGTGTTTATATTATTCCCTCCTTAAGTCAAATCCTATGAGAATAAGATTCACTCATTCCCTCTCACCTTCCCCCGTTTCCCCTCCACTGTAAAAGACTTTTGTTTTTTTTCGTGAGATAATTTACCCCACTCTACCTCTCCCTTTCTTCTTCTCCTAGTATATTCCCCTGTCACCCCTTAATTTTATTCTCCCCCTTCATTTGACCCCTTCATTTTCAACTCACCCTGTGCCCTCTATCTATCTATCTATATCTATATATACGTACATACAATTTTTCCCCCTCCAACTACCCTAATACTGACAAAGGTCTCATGAGTTACAAATATCATCTTTCCATGCAGGAATGTAAACAATGCAACAATAATAAGTCTCTTATGACTTTCTCTTTCCTGTTTACCTCTTCATGTTCCACTCGAGTCTTGTATTAGAAAGTCAAATTTTCTATTCAGCTCTGGTCTTTTCGTCAAGAATGCTTTAAAGTCCTCTATTTCACTGAATGACCATTTTTTCCCCTGCAGGATTATACTCAGTTTTGCTGGGTAGGTGATTCTTGGTTGTAATCCTATCTCCTTTGCCCTCCAGAATATCATAGTCCATGCCCTGAGGGGACCGTCCCTTAATGTAGAAGCAGCTAAATCTTGTGTTATCCTGATTGTGTTTCCACAATATTTGAATTATTTCTTTCTGGCTGCTTGTAATATTTTCTCCTTGACCTGGGAACTCTGGAATTTGGCTATAATATTCCTGGGAGTTTTCCTTTGGGGATCTCTTTCAAGAGGAGATCGGTGGATTCTTTCAATTTCTATTTTAACCTTCTGGTTCTAAAATATCAGGGCAGTTTTCCTTGATAATTTCTTGAAAGATGATGTCTAGGCTCTTTTTTTGATCATGGCTTTCAGATAGTCCAATAATTTTTAAATTCTCTCTCCTGGGATCTATTTTCCAGGTCAGTTGTTTTTCCAATGAGATATTTCACATTGTTTTCTAATTTTGCATTCTTTTGGATTTGTTTTACAGTGTCTTGATTTCTCATAAAGTCACTAGCTTCCAATTGCTCTATTCTAATTTTTAAGGAAGTATTTTCTTCAGTAATCTTTTGGACTTCCTTTTCCATTTGTCCAA